GAATACATATATGTCCTAATAATTGGTAATACTGCTTGATTCGCACTTTTATTGTGGCTGGATTTTTGTGACTAGCTATTAAAAACACACACGCTTTCAAATTATTTGAATTACTAAATATCTGCTTTTGCGACAGTCAGAAAATACACTTGGAATATTATGCAACCCACTGATGGTTTACTCATTTATAGTCTGTTCAGATGACTTACATATTTAAATATATTGGAAATGTAGTCAAATTGTGGTCTGTTTGTCTGGCATTTATATCAGTCTATGGAGGGTTCCCAAATTTCAAAGTTCCCCCCCAAAATAACATGAATAGTGTTGATGATTTTTCATAAGGTGGAATTGACTGTAATCTACTAACAAAGAATGTTAAACAGTTTGTGTTAAATGTTGACGTTTACTTGTATTGACCAAAGTTTTGCAGCTGTGCTATATATATCCTGTGCTCAGGACTAAAATGTCGTTAATTGTTGTATCAGTGCTGTGCATACCTTCTGTGATGGGAAACATTTTTGATGTCCTAACAGAAATATATTTTGATCTATTTTCCTATGGAGTTGTTTCTATGATTATCTTTTAATTTCATTTTTATTTAATAGTAGTATTTCCTCCCCCTTTATCTAATTTTTTATATGCTGCTAAATATATTTTAAATACACTATGTTTGCAAACTTGGTAGCTATGACGAAAACTGTATCATCTGTGGTGGGAAGAGCTATGTAAATAGGTAGAATGTAAAGAGAGAATGTCTTACATTGTAACTGTATGAATTTTTAAATGCTGTAGATTGGATTTTGCAAGAGGATGTATAATTTATGTCTGTTCAGAATATTAATTTGTAAATTCTGCAAGTTTAATTTTTATGTAGATGGTATAACATTTGAAAATATTGTCTTGTGAATCCCACCCCGTTCCCCCACCCCCCGAAAATATTTGCTTGTAAATGAAAGCTTAGCTAGGGCTTAAATAAATACATTGCTATGAATTATTTTTATTCTATTGTTTTTTTCTAATTATACTAGAGGCCAGTGCACAAGATGTGTGCACTGGGGCGGGGGAGGGGGCTCAGCCCAGCCAGTGACCTCTCGCAGTCTGAGGGCCCTTGGGGTATGTCTAACTGACAGATTAGTGAGCAGTCGGACAACCTTAGCACTGCCACGGAGGTGGGAGAGGCTCCCACCACCGCTGCTGTGCTTGCCAGCCGTGAGCCCAGCTTCTGGCTGAGCGGCACTCCCCTTATGGGAGCACACTGACCACCAGAGGAAGCTCCTGCGTTGGAGTGTCTGCCCCTTGGTGGTCAGTGCGTATCATAGCGTCTGGTCGTTTTGCCATTCAATCAATTTGCATATTAGCCTTTTATTATATAGGATGAAAATGGCCAATATTTGTAAAGGTTATTTTACCTGTGTGTGATTTAAGAAAAGGCATTTTTTGTTGTTGTTGTCTAGCACTTCATATGCATTCCTTTCTTTGCTCACTAGACATGACATATTCTTGAAAATTTAAGCCATAAATGAATCTTGATGAACCAAGGAAATTCACTATTTGAGGGAATTAAATCAAGCTATAGAATTTAGGCATTTGAACACAGATGGTAAAACAAATAAAAGTAATTCCCATAAATTTAGGACAATAGTGACTTTGGTTACTTGAAGAAGTGGAGGGAATGGTAACTGGAGGTGTTGCAGGAGGTGAGTTGGGGTGTTGAGGGGTGTGGAGGTACTCCTGGGGTCCCAGCAATGTTTAATGCTTGACCTGGGTAGGTGACTGAACCCAGTTAAGGCCTCAATATAAATTTTAAAGATTATGGCTGACAGGGGCAGAGATCTACTAGTCTTGTGATCACCTGAGACAAAGCTCATGTAAGTTCCCGTGCTTATTAAGCTTGCCACCCACCGAAGGGACAGTGGTCTGTTCCTTTCTTCAGTCATTCCTTGCCCTACATGTGGGAGAAGGGACTAATTTACGAACCAACAAAATGTAGCCTTAACCCCTAAAGATCCCACTCAGGATGGTTAACAATAACTCAAAATAGTTAAAATAGTGCCTCTAAAACTTAAAAATGGGTTATTCCACACTACATATTAAACATACAGTATACCTTATCTGCCCAGAATAGCATCTTTTTTTTTGAAGATACATTTCTTCTTACAAATTTAAATCTCTGCATTTTATCTAAAGTTTTGTCTATTATGTCCATATTTATTTATTTAATTCCCAGCTGATGTGGACACTTTTATAAAAATTTAAATGAACGTCAACATGTAACAAAGTTGTTTCATGCTGCTGTTAGTAATTTTCATTAAGCATTGACTATACCTTACCTCGAAATCATTTTAAATTCTGCCTTTAGCCTCAGAATAAATAGGTTGCATTCCTGCTATGTTGTTGAGGATTTCATTTGCCAACTACTGTGCAGATGCTGATAGCTGGAATTTTGTATTTGCAAATTACAGGCATAACAAAATGTACAGATTTCTAAATTTGAGCGTTATGGTACAAAAGTAGGAGTTATCTTTCTGGTTTCTAACTGTAATGAGATGCTCAACCAATTTTAAACTGTAACAGCTGCCATTAAGCTCTCTCTTTTTTGATGAGGTTCATAATTGTAATAGCTAACATTTGCTGAACGTTTACTCTCCCCCTTTGTTTTTGACTCAACACTCCCTGAAATAGGGGGAATCTAAGGTGTCACTAATGGTCAGAAACACCCCATTTCAGTGATGCTTAAGTGTAAAAATGAAGTGGCATCCTAAAACGAGTGAAATAGGTCCTAGAACTGGAAAAGTACAGTGTTATGGGGAATTCTGCCAGAAGACAGTGACAAATGTCCACTACATCAAAAGTGACAGATGATATTACTCCAGGCCCTTCTACTGTGTCATTGTGTGTGTTAGATTTAGGAAAACTATGGTCCACCTTTCTCAGACTTGCTTTCAGTTTAGGTTCCACATTTAACCTGGTTTCCACCAAGCCTACAATCCCACAGGCTATAATTTGCCAACCCTTGTTCAAGATTGTTACATGGAAGAGAAAACTTCTTTTTTGAGCTACTACATTTTAAGATCCTTTGTTAGAGCAGTCTAATTAAATGATATATATCCATGTAGTTAATGATTTAACAAAATACAGTGGGGCCTTGACTTACGAGTGTCCCGACTAACGGGTTTTTTGAGATACCAGCTGTCTCTCCGCCGATTTTTTGCATTGAGTTGATAGAGTAATTTGAGTTAACGAGCTCCTTAACGAGCTCGGTCTTGGAACGAATTAAACTCGTAAGTCAAGGCCCCACTGTATGTTCTAGAAAAGGCTTTCTGCAAAGAGAGAGTGGTTACCAGATATAAATTTACATATTTATTCAAACAAGTTTAGGGTGCATGGCAGTAAATATCTTGTTTTTAAAAATATAAGAATATAATGATAATTTTCAACATACAGAAGCAAAAAGTGTACTCAGGAAGGCATTTTTTCTAATTTTTTTAAAAAAAAAACATGTTTTTATTGATATTTTAAATAGACAGGAAGGAAGAGGGAGAGAGAGTGAAACATCAATGAGAGAGAAACATTGACTGGCTGCTTCTTGCATGCCCCCTACTGGGGATTGAGCCCACAACCCAGGCATGTGCCCCGGCAAGGAATGGAACCAGTGACCTCTTGGTGTATGGGATGATGCTCAACCAATTGAGCCACACTGGGCAGGGTGGCATGTTTTCTAATTTGAACAAGGATGCCTCTGGGGGAGTAAAAGCCAGCCCTGCTGGTTGACTCTTTGATCTCCACTGCCCAAGATGAACACATTCTTCATTAAGTAAGGTCAGTTCAAAACCAAGACATTTATTTCCTTAAAAATGTTAGCTGTTCAGGAAATTCTGGCTGCCTGTAATTTTCATTAAAAATTCCAAATTTGAAGCACCACAATGTTTTCTGTCACATAGGCCTCTTAAATAAAAATGACAAAAAGTCAGCTATTTAAATGGAAGGATTTGGACAAGATGGCATATTAACTGTTTCTCTCAGACTAATAACTCATTAGTCTATGAATAACTGAACTTTCTGTAAATGACTTTGCTTCCTGGAGATTTTCTTATGTCATCCCTGGGGTGCAAGGGGGTAGCATGCAGCCATTGGGCAAGACACTGAGGGTACTGCCTTCTATGATTTCCACTAAGACGGTGAGTAGTCCGTAAGTGAGCACTCGGGCAGTGTGTACCTGCTGTGTTTGCCTCCTCCACCCGCACCTGATGGTGAGAAAGTAGAATGAAAGATGAGTGTAAACTTTTAGAGGATCCTAAGTCTGGCTCTAGTAGGTATTTGCCACTCTTGGATTTCTTTGAACAATTTTCTATGTTAGGAGTAGTCCCATCTTTTGAATAACACTTCTGTAGATGCTAGTTTCTCATTTCTGCACCTAGTCTTGTGGCCAAGGTGTCAGGGGACTTAGATTTGGTCCAGTAGAGCCACTGGCAACAGACTTTGAATTGGAAGCTAGGGACACAGAAATGTTGGCACTTCCTTGAATCCCTGTGATGGGGGTGGGAGCTAATGCCGTTTTCCATGGACGCAGTGGAAGAATTTTGAGTTCAGTATAGGTGTACAAGCCGTGGAGGCTGTGCCTAGTGCAGGAAGAAACAACCAGTTGTGATTCTGGACATTGTTCCTGGTTGCAGAGCCACCAAATCTCTTTCTCTGGCCACTCCGGAAACTGTACACATTACCTGATAACCTCCAGTAAATTTTTTTTTTCTGTTTGACCTGGCAGTGTGTTATTTGTAGCTAAGAAG